CTTTGGCTGATACTGCCTGGGCAGTGCCTACTGACCTCCATGGCAGTGTGATTGCCCTTGCTGAAAGATCTGTTAACTTGTCTCCCTCCCAAGCATCTGAGTGTGCTTTAAGTGACTAACGGCATAGATTCTTGAGTCAAAGGGTGGCAGGAGTGCCAAGCCTGAGTAGTCACCCTGCCTCAGAGTCACTGTGTGCCTCAGTTTCCTCATCTGTGCAATAGGGATTGTAACATCTACCAGATTAATCATGAAACAGTGAAGAAAATTCACTGATGAATGCTTGAGAGTTTAAAACACTCTAATCAGTCAGTTGGGTAAGAGGATAGACCGGAAGCTGTGTGATTCGAGGTGGGATGGCCATGGAAGGCCTCCCTGAGGGGTGACATTCAAGCAGGGACTGACTGAAGTGAGGAGGAAGCCATGCCGCTCTCTGGGGGGAAGAGCTTCCCAGGAATATTACAACGGAAATATATCTCTGTAAGCTTTATTGCAGATTAGACTCAGGCTGCTCTTTGGGGGCCTGGGACATTATTCAGTTGATATTCTAATGTAATACTGGGTGTCCAGGCAAGACACAGGGCTGGGATGCTTATCCTTTGAAAGCAGCCTAGGAGAATGAGCTGAAACTCAACCAGGGTCAGAGAGGAGAGTGAAGCCCCTGAGTCGGGGGACATCACTGAATTCCAGCTGCTCAGCATAGAGCTACCTGCAGGTGGGCCAAGCACTGGCCACTCAAAGCACCAAGGACCAGCCACTTTTCACGCAGCACCTCCCTTGTCTCTGCGTTGATCCTAGCCCCATCAATGACTCTGCCAACATGGCTCAGACAAGAAGGTTTGAACTGAGTTAAGACGTCCTGGTCTGATCTGAATTTTGTCTAGTTCTGCTTCTGTCATTTGGCAAAAGGGAGTTCTGGTCCCGTGGAGGATGGCTCAGGCAGGTGGTGTGCTGAAGTGGAAGTCTGGGACAGGAGGCAGAGGCCCGGGCTGTGCGGGCAACCCCGGAAGGGTGACCAGGGACAAGGTACTTAACCTCTCAGACCTCAATGTCCTCAGCTGTAGATTTCAAGAACTGCCCAGGCTACTTGCTTTCACACTTTGCTTATCCACAGAAATACTTCCTCCAGCATGATGTCATTGAGGATGCCAGCATATAATACCAAGAATAATGGAGGAGGAGAGGCCTAGACACTATGGCCTCCCACTGTAAGACTCTCCCACACACAGATGATGTCCTAGGAAGAGGCTCTATGGGTTCTTCCAAGCCAACATGTTCCCTGATTTGATGTCACATCCATACAGCACAGAGCCTTTTTAAAGTGTTAGGCTAAGCCACGTGAGATTGCTGATATTTGGCAATTTTTGACTTACAGAAATGGCAGTTTTGTATTTCAATCTAATAGTTTCATTCACATTCAGGACTCCTCCACCTCCCCCCAGCCTCCCCTGTAAAATGGGGCAAACAGAGGAATCATCCTTGGAAGGTTGGTTACTGAGGGCATTGGGGGAGATAACACCTTGGAGTTGGGTGGAGCAGGGAGTGGGGGGTTCTAAACACAGCAGCTTGCACAAGAAGTTCTCCGTGTATGTTTCCAGAGACAGCTTTAACGGTTGCCTGTGGGCCTGACTCAGGGAATAGTGTCCGGATCTCCTTCCTGCCTAGCCTCAAAAGAAGTATGTGGCCAGAGCAGATGAAAAACAGTCTCAATGTGGTTTCCTAATCGTCCATCCTATCCTGCTTGAACCACCAAACTTCCCTTTTTCTCCTTGTGAGGGGAGTCACTGGGCAGTGGACAAGCCTTTACATAGGCCTGGGACTGAGGCTGGAATAACACGAGAGGCATTCAGCTCTCCATTCCCCCTGTCTTATCTGCAAAGCATTAGAGGCTCCATCCCCAGATACCTACACGGAGCCCTTCCCCATTAGGTGGTACATCATGGAATATGTCAGCCTGAATTAGCAGGCAGGCCCATCACATTAAGCTGAAGCTGTGGGCTGGCAGCTCCCACCCTGTAATGCCTCTTGTTCCTGGCTGCATGCTCCCTTTCACGTCGCCACTGCCACAAGAACCGTCTGCAGACAATGCATCGTAACCACGGAGGCCCAGGAAAGAGTTCAGGAGGACCCTCAGGAAGTCCGGCAGATTCCATTTCTTTTGTGGCCCTTGGGATCCTGCTCTGAGCTCTGGTACCTCTGGAGGGCGGAGGAAGCAGGTGGCAACCAAAAGCTTCAGGTGGGGAGCTCCTTTGTGACAAACTATAAAAGCATGGCACACATTTCTGAAAGAATAAATACCATATTCAAATACCATGAACACCTACAACACCTAATTGAAGTTTCTTAATGACAGCAGTACTATGAGTCCCACTACCATTATAACTACCAGTAACGCTAGTTATTCCATCAATTCTCCTGGCACTTTATGTCACTTTCAGAGCATTTATCACTTCCTACTCTGCATGATATTTCAATAGGGTGTGGTACAGTGGGAAGAACACTCACTTAGCAGTCCCCAAATTAAACCTAGCTATGCTTCCTATGTCTGGGCAACCCTGGGCCAGTGACTTAGCCTCTCTGTGCCTGAGTTTTCTCTTTGTGTGAGTACATATTGTACCTTTGTATGAGTACCTGTGTGAGTATCCTCACAGGGCTCTTGAAAGAATCACCTGAGATTATGTATGAAGAATGCTTGACACAGAGAAAATGCACCATAAACATTTCAGTGTAGAGTTTCTGAGGGCAAAGTCACTTTTTATCCATTACGATGCCTTAACTCAGGCATGCCCTTAACTGGCGTCCAAGAATATATGATCTTCCCTTTTAAAATTCTACCTCATTAGTCCTCTAACTTGTTTTCCACTGTACATCTGGAATGATCTAATCAAAACCGAGATTTGATTATATCACAGTCATTACAAATCCTTTCATTTTTTTTCCCTATTCGCTTGGAATACTGGCAAAACTTTTTTGGAGGAGTGTTGCCTCCTACCTACCCTGTGACCTCATCTCCCACAATAGCTCCCATCACTACCTCTGTCTCAACTACAATGACCTATCAGTCCTTCACTCTTGACTTGTTCACCCCACCACAGGACCTTTGCACATCCCTCAAACACATTCTCCCCTCCTAGCCTGGTTAAATCCCTACCCATTGTTCACATCTCAACACACTCATACCTTCTCAGGAAAGCCTCTCCAGTTCTCCTTGAGCAGGTTAGATCCCTCTTGGCAGTATATCCTCTCTTTGGGGGACCTAGTTCTTTTAATCATGTCTGTCTCCTCTGACAAGATTAGTTATAGATGGCAGAACCTGTGTCTGGTTCTGCTTACCAGTTGTGCCCCCTAGGACTTCGTGTGACACTCAGTAAATGTTGTTTAAAGACTGGGTAGGAGGATTGGAGGTCAGATCATCTCAGCAAAACCTCACACCACCCTTTGTGATAGTGAGGGCATAGGGAGCATGGTCACTGTTTTGCAGACAGTGTGATTGAGCTCAGGAGGAGCAGGTTAGTTGCCCAGACCTCACAGCCTGCTGGTTAGTGGCGAACTGGTCTCCCAATTCCTGCCACACACACTTATGCTATAGGGCCATTATTTATGATTGGGATGGGGGACCACAAAGACCTTCCCTCCCTTTCCTTTCCTAGTATTCAGAGGACGGCTGACTCATCTATAGCCACTTCCAATTCACCTCTAGCTTCTGGGTTATCAAGTACCACATCTGTCTAGAATTCTGTGTTTCCTCTGAATCATCCATTTGATTTAAAAACTCCTTCAAGGGTGAGTTCAAGTCCCTCAAGTCTGAGCTGGGAGAATTCTTTTTTCTAAAACATTATATTGGTGAGGTGGCTGCACTTCAGAAAATTTAACTTTTGTTTTTACTTTCTTCTCCTCACCACCTGGGTTGAAGCCAATCGAGAAGTCGAAGTCTTCATCTACCACCTGGTATCAAATCAGTCGGGGCTCAGATGCAAGAGATGATGAGCTTGAACAGAAAATAGCTTTGGTTATTTTATTATCTTGTTTTTATTAAGAGGCCACGCCCATGGTGTGGGGTTTTGTTTGTCTTTGGTGCTTTTTTAGTTTGCTTCCTTTCAGACATCTGTGTTCTTACTCTCTTTCTTTGGAGCCAGTTCATCCAGAACTCAAAGATAAAGGAGGAAGCGTGATGGTTCTTTGTTCATGTTTGCCAGAGAGACAGTCATGTGTGGGAAACTATTTAACTGCCGATTCTCTGATCCACCAGAAAGAAATCATTTACTCATGTGTTCTCATTCTTTCAACAAATACTTACTGAGAAGTTTTTATATATCAGTAAGGTGATCATATCATTAATATCCAAACTGGGATAGTTTTGCCTGTAAATGTGACACTACCTGGTTCGCACTCTAAGACAAGTATAAACCAAGATGTTCTCAGGTCAATCAGGATGTCACTGGGTTCCCTCTATATTAGTGACTGAATTTGGACTGTTAAGAGTCTTGGGTGATGATAAAGTTTCCCAAAATGCCCTTAAGAATTGAGGACAAAGCCAGGAAGGGGTGTAGGCTTCCAAAGCCATGAGATGAAAAGACATAAAAGATAAATTTAGATTGAAGTTGAAGTAGACATATATAAAATTTTCCCACAACTTCATTTTTTAAATAGATTCCATGTTTGAAAAAAAATCTGGAGCAATGTCTCTGAAAGGTAATGATTCCACAATGAAAACCAAGTTCCCCTGAGATGAGGCTACCTGGAGGAGCTTGGGGAAATGTTTAGAATTTGTAAGGAATGAAATTTCCCATCAGGGCTAAGTGATGGTGATATCTTTCGAAAGAGGAGGAACAGAAGCGAACAGGAACAGTGTGTAATTCTTTATTAGCCTCTTCTTTCTCTGACTTGGCATTTCTTCAGTGTGGCTATGATTTGTTGTGTGATAATCAATGACATAAGCATGCACACTCTTTTCCTATGGAAGACCTTTGGTTCTGAAGTGATTTGTTTCTCTTGCATTCCAGGTGCCTGTCTTGAGACCCATGGACCTGATGGTGGAGGCCACCCCACGAAGAGTATTTGCCAACGCACACACATATCACATCAACTCCATATCTGTCAACAGCGACTATGAAACCTACATGTCTGCTGACGACCTGAGGATTAACCTATGGAACTTTGAAATAACCAATCAAAGTTTTAGTATCCTTTCTTTGTGGCCAAGAATCAACTGGCCTGAATTAAGAGTATTCAGGTACGAGTGGGCTTGGGGGAAATATGGAATAGAAATGCAACACCTAGCATTTGTGGAGAACTTGCCCCTTTTAAAATACACCTATGAGACTCTTTAGTCATAACAATAAAGTTAGGGAAATATTGTTATTACAAGTGGTAGGCCAGGACTAACTCTGGATTGGAACTCTGAATCAATTCCTTCATACAGAGTCACTTATATGTCATGAATTAAAATTAGAGAGGATTTTATCAACAATAAGATAAGACCCTAGAGTTCAGGTTCTTTCTCTGTTTCTTTTTCAGTTAAAGGATTCGTAAATCTGTAAGGACGGCATGGACCACAGACATACTGGTTTCCATTGTATCATAATAGTGAAAATAATCGTGGCCGACATTTATTGAGTTCCAAGCACTTGCACGAGGAACTTTAAGTATAGGATCACATTTTTTACCTCATTGAAGTACAGCATGCATATAGAAAAGTACACACAATTGTGCAGTTTGATAAAATTTCACAGATTGAACTTGCCTATAACCAGCATCAACATACAGAAACAGAATTTTACTAATAATTCTCATGCCCATCATGCCCCTTTATAGTAATAATTTCTACCCCCAAGGACATATTTGATGAAACAACCCTATAATGTAAGTACCACTCTCTCCTGTTTAATTAAAATATAGAAAAGTCGGCCGGGCGCAGTGGCTCATGCTTGTAATCCCAGCATTTTGGGAGGCTGAGGTGGGTGATTGCTTAAGGTCAGCAGTTCAAGACCAGCCTGGCCAACATGGAGAAACCCCATCTTTACTAAAAATAAAAAGTAAAAAAAAAATAGCCAGGCATGGTGGCACATACCTATAGTCCCAGCTACTTGGGAGGCTGAGGCAGGAGAATCGCTTGAACTTGGGAAGCAGAGGCTGCAGTGGGCCAAGGTCACTCCATTGCACTCCAGCCTGGGTCACAGAGCCAGACCCCATCTCAAAAAATAAAAATAAATAGAAAAGTCAAAATAATTGCTGAATAGCCGGGCCACTATTTTCACCCCACTGTGTTGACCCTCTATTTTGTAGTAAAAAATGGTCATTTATTGAATACCTATCATGTACTCCATTCCCCAGAAGCCTGAAGCATGAGATTTATGAGGAATGGCACTGAACAACTCAGGCAACTGAACAATTGACCTAGGCATCAGTATGGAGTCTTCTCTTCCATTTACCGGCCTCCCCCACTCTAACTCCATCTATTCATGAGCTCTGCCAGTATGTCCTCTAAAATATATGTCAAATCAACTCATATGTCCCTATCTCCACTCCTACCTACTTACGCTGGCATAAGCCACCGTCGTCTCTCACCTCTGCGACTGCAGTAATCTCTTGTCTGGTCTCCATTTGTTCTTGCTCTTTTATACAGTACGTGCCCACATAACAGTCAGAGTGGACTCTTCAACATGTCACTCAGATATCACTCCTTCCCTGATAAAAACACTCCAGTAGCTTCCCATCGAACTTAAAGTTATTTAACTTGGCCTATAAGATTTCACATAATCTGGAGCCTGTCTCCATCTTTGATATCCTGTCATGTCAGTCTTCCATAATTCACTTTGTTTCAGCCAATAATCACTTTTCTGTTCCTAAGTAAACCTTATTCTTCCATTCTTTGCATTTGCTGTTTTCTCTTTATGGAATATTCTGCCCCCAGCATTCACATGGCTAGCTACATATCACCATTCAGGCCTCAGAGGTACTTTCTCCCATTAACTCTCAAGTAGCTACCAATAACTCTCTACCCTGTTATCGTCATAGTACTTAAAATGATTTGAATTTTTTTATTTATGTATTTTTGGTTTCTTCATATTAGAATGTAAATTCTACAAGAGCAAGGGCTTTGTATGAACTATTGCTGTATATGGAACACTCTGACATATAGAAAATGACTGGACCTGTCAAGTTCAAAATAATAGTAGGTCATCAAAGTAGAGATGTTCAGTAGACAGTTGATCATACAGTCTACCCTGGAAATTTAAGAGTTATAGCAAAGTTCTGAAGTTTCGTATATAAAATAGACTCCATGATGGCTCAAACAAACAAAAGATTTATTTTCCTATAAAGTCTAATATTGATAATCCCCATAAGCAGGCAGCCTCCTCCAATCAGTAATTCAGAAACTTGGGCCTCTTTCATCTGCAGCTCCCCAGTGTTCACCATGTTTGTAGTGGGACTGTGAAAGGGGAAGGTAATGGAAGATCACAAATGGGAGAGTCCTTTGAGCCAGGCCCTTAAAAAGCATGCATTCCATGGTTTTTAGATCATTCAGCCACGTGGCCACCTCTTACTGCTAGACAGACTGGAAAATGTAGTCTGGCTGTGTGCCCAAGAAAAATGACCTGGTTTTGGTACACAGCTAGCTAGTCTCCACCACAGAGAGCACTCAACAGTCACCAAAGGCTTTCAGGGAAGGCAGCTTTAACCAGGTAGTGGCAAGTATGAGATATATTTGGAGACACTGAGAACTGACCATCAGGACCATGCCTGGCATCTTTTGTTGATCACAGAACAGACTCAACATGCTGTCTGGGCCTGCCTACAAATTTTGCCTGGCAGTGCAGCTGCTAATAGAATGAGTGTGGGTGGTGGTTCCCTTTCTCTCTCTCCATCTATTCCAAGAGCCAGAAATCTGCTCAGGCTCAGCTGGCTGTCACTCGGAGCTTCTGCCTCCCCCGGTCTAGGTGACATGTTTTCTGAATTTTGCCTCTAGGCCTTCAAGGGGGAGGGGATTTTCTTTAGGCATTTTGGGAGACAGATGCCCTGGGGAGAATGCAAAGGGGAAATATTAATAGCACAGTTTAGGTTATATTCTGCAGATGTGTGACAGCCTGCCAGATGCTGGCATACAAATGAGACTGTGCCATTCACCCTTAAAGCAGCCATATGTAAAATAATCATTGTCATCATGAGAATGATGATAAGTGATATCTATATAGTTTTTTCAACCAGACTGCCCTAAGCACTGAGCCAACGATATAAACTGAGACCCCTGTCCCTCTCATCACTGAAGTATAGCCACCTCTGGGGTAGGAGGTGGCCATCTTTCAAAACAGCCTCAGGAAAATACCAGCCACCAGGCAGGATTTCCACAATGCCCTCTATTCACAAAGGAGACAGAAGAAACATGGTTCAGGATAGAATAATGTGGGATTCCCAAAGCATAGTGTGGCTACTACTGGGGGTGGTAAGCAACGTGCTTCTAAGCAATACATAAACTTTTTTTTAGTTTTCATATTTATGTATTTATTTTAATGAATGTCAGAAAACACAACCATCTTATTCTACAATTTCACAGATACTGAAAATCCATTTATATTACAAAGTAAATAGTATTAAGTAAATAGTGAGATAAGTGATCTGGAGATACGGTTAGAAAAAGTCATGACTTCCAGTGACTGGCATTTGGTATGAATTTGGCATTATGATTGAGAACTCAGGATTTAGAGTTCAACAAATTAGACAGAGTTCTCACCCAGTCCTACCACTTTCTGGTTGTATAAGCTTTAACATGTTTCTTAATTTATCCAAGCCTCCATTTCTCTATTTTGTTATCTGTAGAAAGGAGCTCTATCAAAGAGGATTGTGAGAATTAAATACACACACACACACACACACACACACATTTAGGGCAGTACCTTGCTAAGTAAATACTCAGAAAACAGGGACTACCACAATCATAATAGTTATTGGAAGAACAAGGAAACTAGAAAAGTTGAACATTAGAATGGTGGCTTTTATTCTGCTAAATTCATTATCTGGATTGTCTTTTCAATTCTAGACTCTTCCTTTGGCTCTGCAGTTGGGTATCCTTTGCAAGATGTTGCTCCCTAGTTACCAGATGTTTGCAGGGACTCTGAGGTCCAGTGCCTTGTGTTTAGCACCAGATCAGAGCAAAGCATTCCTAAAGCTCATGATACCTGGACATGAATTCTCTCCCTTCCATCCACAGCCAGTCCGTCCCTTGGCTTGTGTAACACGTTCTCACATAAAGCAGTCAAACTTTGGTCTTTTTTTTTTTTTGAGATGGAGTTTCGCTCTTGTTACCCAGGCTGGAGTGCAATGGCACGATCTCGGCTCACTGCAACCTCCGCCTCCTGGGTTCAGGCAATTCTCCTGCCTCAGCCTCCCAAGTAGCTGGGACTACAGGCATGCGCCACCATGCCCAGCTAATTTTTGTATTTTTAGTAGAGACGGGGTGTCACCATGTTGACCAGGATGGTCTCGATCTCTTGACCTCATGATCCACCCACCTCGGCCTCCCAAAGTGCTGGGATTATAGGCATGAGCCACTGCGCCCGGTCTGGTCTTAATAGGGTAACTATATCAGGACCATAATAACTCATTAATAGATTGGTAATTTTCTAGAGTGAGAGGCAGTAGCAATAAATGAAAATTGATATTAAAATATGTGGCTTCTTTATGAAAAGCTATGCTATACCTAGAATCCTTTGAACTCTTTTCTCAGAATTAAGAATGAATTGACCTGAGTTCTTACCTTCTCCAACATGGGACCTATTAAATAGACCCAAATCAAGTAAAAATAAAGACTAGCCCTCAACAATGATAAATTAAGTGCCTAGTTTGTGCCAGGCACAAAAATGAGAAAAAACAAATTTGCCACTTTTAGAGTAATGGTCATCAAATACACTATGAGTATATAATTATAAACTGAGATAATTTCTGTGAAGTTAGGGAATATGGTTCTATGAATGCATTTTTTAAAATCCTGCTATAGACCAGGGAAGGTTTTGTTAAATAATTAATTGTTGAGATCTGAAAGAGGGAGGGTATGAGTAACTTGGCAAAGAGGTGTGGAGATATGTGTTCAGTGTGTGCAGAGGTCCTATGGCAGGAGAGAGTATGACATGTTGGATGAATTCTAAGAAGGCCACTATTTTTAAAGCCCAGAGAGTGAAGTGGAG